CATGTTGATAAGGTTTAAGTCTGAATTGCCTATTAAATATGATATCCGGTGACACCAAAGAAAGTTAACTCAAGGACCGTCTTAAGAAAATTTAACGACCGCAACACTTAATTTTAACTTTTGTCCCAAGTATATAAAAATTTACGAATGCTTTTGTGTCGGGTATAAATCTCAGTCGTGTTTACTCAAAAAATACAAACGTTTGAGGCCATAAAATAACACCCTTTAGTCGGGATTCGTATTTCACGTTCTTAGGATTTACAAACCATATAAAAGTCAATATTCAGGGGACCGTTTAATTTAATTTACCGTCTAGTAACGCCCTCGGAATTTATATATTTAATAATAACAGTGAAGAGAAATGAATTTTGAATGAGCCCACATACGAAGGAATCTCTTTAGGGCACTGTAAATATTGAGGTGAACTGAATGTATATTAAATGCTCCATACTCGTTTAATTGAGTTTAAGTAAGGCAGACTACTTGAAAAAGCAAACACATGCCCTCTGTCTATACCGGGTGGCTGGTTTTTTAAGTGAGCGTGAGCGAGCACATAAACCGTACAAAATCATTCATGAATTTTAAATTCAATACAAGAATTGTTCAAGTGAAAAGCACTTTGTGATTGGAATATATTCAGTTTTACTGAAGAAATTGTTTCTTTTTTAACTACGCCCCTTTGTAATTTCGATAAATTAATATTTTACATTACAGAAAGTTGTTAAAGTTATAGACGACATTGGGAAACTGCGACAACACCAGCAGCCGTAATAAGAATATGAAATTTTCCGATTTTAGACGACTGTGGCCATAGAAACCGCAGTAAATATACATTTTTCTGTTATATTCTACTTAAATGAAATCGAGAATGAAATCGTGGAATGACGTCTTCACTTATTTAAAAGAACGCAATATTCAAACGTCCAATAAAAAACTTAATAACTTGAATAACTCCAATACCCGTCAAAACGGAAAATGCGTAGGCGTCTCTTCTCCAATTTTCTCTAAAAACTTTCTTTTATAACCAACGTGTTATCTCAAATCACTCCCACTTTCCTAAAGACACACCATTTTTGTCGCACTTTATAAAACACTTATCACATAAACAAAACCTTTAACACGTCTGTCCATTTTAATAATAATAACCAACTAATAAACTCTAAAGATAAGGAAATTGCACACAAAGAAAAACACCTGGAAATTATCACATTAAAATGTCAATAATTCCACATATCTAATAATTAAATTAAGAAAAACGAACCATCCGTAGCATAAACAGTCTCTTATAAAAGTAAAAAATTACGCAAAACTATAATTATGAGTGGTATTATAGCAATACAAACAAATTAAGTAAACGGTTGTTCAGAACTATAGGTAATCTACAACCACGTCTTAGAGTTGCAGATGCAGACATTGATGAACCATATTGCCCATTTGCAGCGGTTCTCAACCTTTTAAATATTGCGACGGCAGCAGAAACTTTTAAAACGTCGCACACAGAAGGGGGACGACCACTCAAAATTGTACACCGCATATCCGTACCATTTCCAGATTTCCAAATTCGTATAGGTAACATTTCCAATTTTCGACATTTTCCATTACATCCCGGGTGTTTTTCATATTTTAAGACATTAACATATTGTAACAAGAATTTAATTACGTGATGTATTTCGGTACATTTAATTATCAATGCATCTATAATAGTTCTTAAATGGATTGATTTGTAACAGTTAACTATTATTTATCACTCACTTGTACACAAATTTACAACATTTATGACAACAGCGAAATTCACTAATAATTATTTCGTCAACGATATTGGAACTGCCTTTAAATACATTTTAATTTACTTATACAGGGGGATTCACGTTGCCCATTCGTTAGATGTTTCTAAACTTGCAGTTGGTTCACAGCCAGTGACGTAACTAGGTATTTTTCGAAGCGGTGCCGGATCTGGTTTTGGCGCCCTACCGCATTTGCGCGCCTTATCATTGAGCTCTAATTAATACAACACTGTACATTTTTGAGAGAAACTTACACGAAATTTTAAAAGCACTGCACTACTTAAATTTTAGAAAAATGCTTTGAATAACGAAGTCTTTCACTCAATGAAGAATAAAAATACATTTATAATGTTCTCAATTCTCGCGTCAAATTTAGCTATGACATAGGGTACAAGTTGTAGAAATGATTGCGTCTTAGAATAAGGGTGCAAATGCTGGTCACACTAATACAGACTATTGTATATATCACAAATAAAGTATTATTATTAGCTTAGATCTGCAGCCTTTTCCTACCGCTGTAACTTTGTTCTACAAGGGCCATCCAGAAAGTAACAGACGTTTTGAAATAAAAAATTAAGACAGTGTAAGAAACAACTTTTATTATATAAGTACGTTTGGAAGCTACACTCTTAGGCTATTTTTCAACATAGTCGCCATTCATATTGAGGCGCTTATCATAGCGTGGTACAAGTGTTTTGATTCAAACTTTGTATACCTCCGACGTCTGTGGGGGCGTCAGAAGTGGGTACCGACAAAGGGAATGTGGCAGCCCCCTGACAAGATCTTATTGATTGTGGAGTCAAAACTGGCTAATAAAAGTACTGATCTGCCACACAAAATTGCGCTAAAATCCCTTGGATGTTCCGTTCATCTTAAAGGACCGTAAATTTAGTTTTAATTATATTTCACTGCACCCTGTATTCGTCTTTAGCAAACTATTAGAATTTAACCGCCGTTCTTGTCTTTTATGACTGGCCTATACGGTACACCGCGATGCCCATCCCGACTTAGTGCCCTCGGTGCTTCAGCGCCTCCATTCAGAGCGCGGTGCCGCGGCACCTTTGGCACCTACCTAGTTACGCCACTGTTCACAGCCATAAACGACCATTGAAATTCAAAATTGAAATAAAATAATTTTAAGATGGCACCGCTTCCGTAAATACAAGAAGTTGATGCCATCTTGTTTTTTTAAGTAGAAACCATTTTCTGTTTTTTTTTAATATTTGCGACGAACGTTTATAGAGAGTAACTACTTGCTTGTGGGCATGCGCATTTCTCGTGTAGATATTGTTGTTTTGAGTGCTTCTGAAAAAAATTGAGAAGACAATTTTAAATCTACAAATAACCTAATGTCCAACTCCGCTGAATTGCGTACGTGATTGTGACCAAAGAATCAAACCTGAGCCACCCGGGTGCAACCGGGGGATCTTGCCCACTGGACCATTGCATCCGAGATTGCGTTAAATCGTAACTGAACATTTCTCTCTCCTCGGGGGCGAAGGGGCATCTAAAAAACTCATGCTCACGGAGGAAGCAGTTACTCTCTGTAAGTGCTTGTGATTTGCGTACGTACTGTCAGTGTAACAATTTTTTTGAGCGACGTCTGAAAGTCTGAGAAAGTGTCAAGGGTTGCTACCATTTTCTTCTTTTAAAATGCCATAACTAAAAAACTACCGGACATAGGCGTATAGAATGTTAATAAAAGTGGCTCTAAAATGCAAATCTAAAAGTAGTTATACCTACTATAAATGGCATAATTTCAATTTGATACTATAGATCAGATTGTATTATATCTGGAAAGGAAAAATCAGACTCTATACAGTAACAAATAAGAGAACTTAATTCCGGTGAATTGTTTCAATATAATAAACATGAATTTACTTCATATGTTTTACCGCGTCTTAAATGTTTTCCATCCCTCCGACCGCAAAGTTCAAATTACCGGGACGACCGAAGCTGGGATTGCCCAATGCCCATAGCCGAGTTTAGATCGCCGGGGTAACCGAAGCCGGGAAGTAAATGGTTACCGGGAAATCGGTGCCGGGGTGGTCATCGCCGGGATGACCGTGGCCGTTGCCTCATCGGTGCCTTCTTCTTTTTTACTGACCCGTTGCTTGTGGCACAAACTGCACATTTTCTTGCACCATTCCTTCACATCTTGTTTGTAATTTACCCAGTAGAATCGATCCCGCACCTTAAGCCGATTCAGCTGTTCATATGCATATTTATTGCTCTATCGTAATTGAGTGAAGTATGTAAGGTCTAAAGCAGGCGGGTTTGTGCTAAAGTTACAAAGGTAACCGTTTAGTTGCTTAAAAGTTATAATTTTGTTAGAGAAACGTTAAAATGTTTCGAACAAAACCTGAATATAGTGGTATTATGGCCTTATTTTGAGTTATTTTGAACGAGTAATGACGTATTTATTTCGTTAGTTTCAGGAAAGGTATCTTTTCGAATTTGTCAATGTGGCAATGCGCTATAGTTTCCTTGTTCATTTCTTTGGGCTAAACTTTATTTGTTTTAAATCTTCTTTTGGCAATGTCGCCCAATGTGTGACCACCTCTAATGCCCTTTGAATATGAAAATTTATAATTAAAGAACATTTTTTAGGCATAATTGGAGAACGGTCACCTCTAAGATGGGAATTGTGCTTTTGATTACCGTCTTTAGATGATATTGTTGTTTGAAGACTAACACAAGCACCTTGAAACTAGACGTTTTTAGGCATATTTACAAATGCCTCAAGAGCCTCTTTTAAAGATATTGGTGTTGTTCTTAACACATACTTAATGATTTTGTTAATTCGTCAACAAAGGTGAAGCCAAAGAAGGCAAATACAATTAAAGAGCGCGAGTCCCACATTAAGTATATTACGCACTAAATGCTCTTAATTTTCATCATTAATTATATGATGTACATACGACGCAAATTAATTTTGAGCACATAAAAATCGGACAGAAATTAAATTATATTTAGTCACAGAAGCATGTGCGTTGTAAAAAATTAATCATCTTCGTAATAATTTAAAACTGTTGTCAGTCTGTTGCATAACAAGCCTACCTGGTCGTTTGAGGTTTACATACGTTACAAAACTTGCCACTTGGGGGTTTTTAAGATAACAATTATGCAAATTACTGTAAAACCTCCAAGGTTATTCTGTATAAACGGTAAAGTTCCATTAATCGTTATCATAAACTTTACGAGCAATTTATTCTTAGTCGTGAATTAAAGACGCAACGAGTACCTAAACATATTTATAGTAACTGATGTTAGCATTTAAAAATTGTGTTGGGTGACAATTTGATCAGATTTTAAAACCCCCGCTGGGGTTTGGGACAGAATCATAAATCGCCCTTCACTAAAATTCTGTAAAACTTCTCACAGTTATCGTGAAAGTGTCCTGTTTTATTTAAAATTTTTTAAGACGACGCGTTTAAATTATGCCAGGTGAGTGTTACAGTATCTACACTTGGAATGGGGTTCGATGGTATTAAATAAAGCTTGTAGGGTGCACGTTGTATTTATAGGCCGAAGTGTGCATATAACTTAAAAAGTCTGGAAAGTTGTCAGTAACTTCAAAACTTTCAATGCTGGGGGTCCTTTCTCTTAGTACCCAAAGTACTCTTTGTATCCTTGTGTACAGCGAAATAAAATAAGTTCTCATAAAAGTGAATCACATAGAGTGTATTCGGGTAGATATTCGTCATCCGCCATCGGGTGAGTATTACTTCCAAGTTCAGCACATATGGCATGCACGTGCGACAAACGGACAAAGTTTCAGTCATCTCCATACTTTTACCTGGTTTTAAAGCTTCCCGACCAGACCGGGTCGAACTTATACTTGAGCCGTTTTCGGTTGCCTACAATAAACCTCCACCAAACCTCCTCTGCCTTTACTTTGGACAATGGAGCACGAGCATCTGACATTACACGGATAATATTTAGGGCACTAGTACGATTTAGTAATATCGTTAGCATCTCGACTCATTCCGCTTGTAAAGTTTCGTTTTATAATATTACACGCGGTGCAGTAACAGAAAGTCCGTTTTTTTGGTATGACGGACAACCTTAATTGAAAAATGGATTAGAGATTTTAATTGTACATGGCACGAGCTTTCCATACAACTTCTGAATAATCAACCCCTAGTACTTGTAATAAAAGTTACATTTGAATTATAGACTCCGCCGTAAAGAAAACTCAGGGTAAGGGAAAACCTTCAGTGAAACATATTCTAATTGCACATGGCACGAGTTATCGATACTGATTTTAAAGCATATCACCCCCTGTTACTTATATAATAAAAATTAGATTTTAATTATAAAAATAAAGGCAGTGGCGGTTTAAACCCTTAGCAGGCCCTAATCACAACGCCATTTTGAGGCCTCTCTTCTAATACAAATTCAATTTTGAAATCATGTGAAATTGATTTTTGATTATGCTATAATAGTTCAGGCTAAATAGCTCTAGAATAATTTATTTAAAAAAAAATTAGTTACCGGGCAAAACCGGGTTTTTCAGGCAGGTGAAATGAATAGAAATTGGGAAAAAATAATTAAAACAGCTGAATTTAGCTTGTTTTGTGATAACAAAGAAGATAATTTTTTGGGCCTGTAAAGTTGAACCGTTTCCAAAATCTCACGATTTCTGAAAAAAACCACCTATTTTTCAAGGGCATGAAAAATCTATTTTTTTCATCGTACTGAGGTGCGCGGGGTAGCAAAATTTTCGTAACGACTTACATTTTAATAATCAAAAATAAAAAATATTATTCCATTAGAAAAATTTTAAGAAAAGCGGCAATAACGGGGGGAACAGTTTTAAGATATACCGTTTTTGACGGTAGGTAAATAGCTTTTTTTTTTGCAAATAAATTAACGTATTAGATCCGCGCTAATAAAAAGTTTTTGAAATCTGTCTTCTCCCTCCTCTTTAATGTTGCTAAAATTTTTCTTTTATTTCCCACTGCCCAACTGCCTTATTTAAAACATCTTTATTATTCTTTTTTCTGCATTTTTACCACAATAAAAGCAATTCGAAGTAAAATCGAATTCTTTTGCTTCCTGAATAATTTGTTTTTGTTCACTAACTTCTTGCCTGTTTTACAGCTGATGGGATTAAGCTGGGCCTGTTGATCGTTAATTTACAGGAATTATGAATAAAATCCTCATAAAGTTTATTCCAGGTTTTACATCTCAAATCATTTGCTTTGGTCAATGGCCGGTAAAAGGTTCTTATTTCAGATTTAGCAAGTTTTCAACAGGTCCAACGCAATTGCATCAGCTATAAAACAGGCAGGAAGAAGAGTCAGTGAACAGAAAGAAATTGTTCAGGAATCAGGAAGCAAGATAATCCGATTTTATTTCGAATTACTATTTATTGCGGTAAAAATGCAGAAAAAAAAATAATAAAGATGTTTTAACTAAAACAGTTGATGAGCATAAGATAACAAAAGAGAATATTTAAGCAAACATTAAAGAAGCAAGAAGACATATTTCGACAAAATCTTTATTAACATCCAACATGTTGATTTATAATGTCAAAAACCGTGTATATCTTAAAACTGTTTTTCCAGTTTTTGGCGATTTTATCGAATTTTTGCGATAGGAATAATATTTTTTTATTTTTGTTTATCAAAATATAAGTCTTCCCGAAAATTTTGCTACCCCGCACACCTCTGTACGATGAAAAAAATAGATTTTTCATCCCCTTGAAAAAGAGGTGGTTTTTTTCAGAAATCGTGAGATCTTGGAAACGGTTCGACTTTACGGGCCCAAAAAAATATCTTCTTTTTTATCATAAAACAGGCTATGTTTCCTCCAAATTTCAAACCCCTACTACTTTTTTTCGAAAAAATAAGGATAAAAAGCGAAAAAAACAGTTTTTCCGGTTTTTCTAGGAAGATTGGAGGTTACCTATGTGAAAATAGTGCAGATACAAAAAACTCGGTTTCGCCCGGTAACTAATTTTTTTGTCAAAAAATATTATATAGCCTGGACTATAACCACATACATAGGTAGTACATTAAATGCATTCAGTGGCGTGTATTTTTCGAAGCGGTGTCGTATCAGATGTTGGCGCCCTACCAGATTTTGGCGCCTTATCAGATACCATTGAGCTCTAATCAATAAAATACTGTATATTTTTGACAGTAGCAGAAAATTTCAAAAGTTATGCAAACTTTACATATCACCTGAACCTGGATTTACTCACCAATTTGCATAAATTTTAGAAGAAGATACAGTTATTTTCAATTCGTACGTCAAATTTAGCTGTGGCATGGGGCCGAAGAAATGATTAAGTTTTAGAATAGGGGTGCAAATGATATTCGATATTTACAATTTTACAAAAGGGTTGCGAATTTCAAATTAAGTTACTTTTAGTTAATCAAATCTATTTTCAATTTGCACCATGTACGGCGTTCGGAAAGCAATTTTTTCTAAAATTACTTTAGAAACAACTACTTTCGTCTCTAAACAGGGTGACGAAAATATGTGATTTTCGTCTCTAGTGAGGAAAGTAAAAAACAATTGCTGCTTTAATCTTAATCATGACATTAAAAATTGAAATATACCCGCATCTAGATTGCTGTGTCAACCTTCATTACTGTATACGGTAATTTTTTAATTTGGATTGTAGTTTTAGAAAAAATTATGTGTAAAGCTTGGGACGAAAGTTTTTTTCAACTCTCGTTCAATTGACACACTCTCGCTACCCTCATGTGTCAAACTTTGAACTCGAGTTGAAAAACTCCATTTTCTTCTCTAGTTGTACAAATAACAATTTCCGACAATCTACGCTTGTACGCTTGTAGAAGATCGCTTGTACAAAGACAATGAGTGTATGTATGTATATTTTGAAAACTAAAAAAGATAGAGTGATGCGGTTTACACTTCTCGTAGTTACTTTTCAAATCTGCGTTAGATCGAAGATGTCCATTTTGATGTGACTGGTGCGAACGTGGCAACAGCGCAAAAGTCTAAAACTGCAATAAAGGCTTTTGCTTTATAACTCACATATTATCAAATAAGCATCAAGAATAAACGCAAAGAAGTCTTTTAGTTAGGCGGCATTTTTTTAATTTTCCAGATACAGCACCAACGTTTGTTTTTTCAAATGGAATGTATAATATTTTTTTGCACCAAGAAACTAATAAAATATTATACATTCTATTTGCAAAAACTTTAGTGCTGTGTCTTAATCACTAAGCAGGCTATGGAAAAGATAAATAAATATACCCCTTTACTACACCCCATTCAGAGCAGATGTGTATAATATGTTTTGAACTACACAGTTTCGATAGAAGTATGTACCAAAGCTAGTCTTCAAGGAAGAAACGAAAAAATTTGACCTGACTGCAGAGATCAGGAAGTGAGCAAATTCCACACATTTCTCTCTCTTTTGGACAGTCTTAGGTTTATTTTATAGTAGGATTCACAGATTCGGCAAGCCCAGAGTCATGGGATCGGATGGAGGATACTAACTGACGTCATATATCATTGAACGAATCTTTTGTAAAAGTATCTCTGCACCAGCATCGTTCTTCCTCAGGATCACTTACTTCTCTCATTCTACCAGTTGTCGTACAGAATGTTTTTCCCGACGTTGCGAAAACAAACAGAGAACATAAATATTGTCGAGGTTCCAGGATCCTGAAGTGCCTGTTGAACCGACGCGACAATATTACTTTCAAACTTGTATCTCTTTCGGCATGCGCCCTGATTTCATTCAACCCCTGTGGAAATCGGTTACAACTTTATCTTCCTCGAAGTGTATTGCAACAAATAAATCAATATCCTGTCGGACTGAGAATGAGAACCCTATTTCTGACCCAAGGAATGGTGGAGAGGAATGGGAGGGAACACCTGCTGGTCGGGGAAACGAAAGGGGGCCGAGATCCCCTAAATTTGCTACAACGTATTCCCGTAAAATGATCGTATTTCATTATATAAATGTGGGAAAGACAAATAAAGTCTTTGATCGTATTCTTTTCGATATCGGGGTCGAAAATTAAAGCACATCTTAAAATTTTCCTTTTTTTTTGCAAAAAATGTTAATTTTTTGGAGGGCTGTATCACGGTAAGTATTGAACCTACAAAACTGGCTCTATTCTCAAATTGTAGCAATTTTAATCTACTGTAAAAACGCATAGAAAATATTTTCTAACAAAACGCATAGTGAAAAAACCAAAAGAAGTGCGAAAATTTCGCAGTTTTTTGAGTACTGCAAAGTTAGTACAGGTCTTTCTTCTAATAGCAATTTCTAGTGACTGATATGACTGGCCTGTAAACGGCTGAAACAAATGCAACCCAAAGGCGATATCTTTGGAGCCCTCCGGGCAAGACGAGGCCCCAAACACGAGCTTATTGTGCCTATGGGGTGAACCGGATCGGATACTTTAATTACATGGCACGAGATATCGATACCGATTCTAAAGCACGATCAACCC